GAACCACATCAGGCAGAGCTTAGAGGTCATGTTAAGGACTTGGGGCATCGGTCTAAGAAGCCATCAAAGATACTAAGTTGTAAATGACATGATCGGAGTGTTTTTTAAACACCAACTCAGCTAGAGTGTGGAAAGAAGATTGAAGGTGAGATATGAGCAGTGGTCCCCAACCTCTTAGGCACCAGGGACCAGTTTCAGGGAAGACAATTTTTCCACAGACCAGGTTGAGAGGCGGATGGTTTCAGGATGATTCAAGTACATTACATTTATTGTGCAGTCAAACCTCTCCGCTAATGATAATCTGTATTTACAGCCGCTCCCCAGCACTAGCATCACTGCCTCAGCTCTACCTCAGATCATCAGGCATTAGATTCCCATAAGGAGCGGGCAACCTAGATCCCTCCCATGCACAGTTTACAGTAGGGTTCGTGCTCCTATGAGAATCTAATGCTACCGCTGATCTGACAGGAGGTGGAGCTCAGGCGATGATGCGAGCAATGGGGAGTGGCTATAAATACAGACGAAACTTCACTCGCTTGTCAGCGGCCTGAGGGTTGGGGACCACAGGGCATGAGGATGTCAGGGACCCTGGCTGGACCAGTTGGGCCAATGAAAGTGGCAAAAATCACTCCATGACTTGTACATCATACATGACTTGATGTTTTCCAGGATTAGAACTGAACATGCTAATGCTGGGAAGTATTATGCCAAGTTCAAATTTTAAAATACAATGATATGTATTTAGGTTATAACCTGGAGGCATCTCTTATTTTAAAGTCATAGAAAATTATTATTAACTGATTATTTTTATGTGGATTCAAGGAAAATTAGATTCCATATTGAGCATAATATGTTAAGATATCTATAACAATGTTCTATTTGTAAAAAGAATCCTTTGAAGTCACAAGGTTTGCTTGGAAGTTGTCAAGCCAACGAATAATTAATTGCATTATTTGTCCACTAGATGGTAGCAGTAAGGATGCTACGATTTGTCAAGTAATCATCTTCAAAATAATTTAGTGATACATCATCTAAATAGAGAGAAAGAGAGACCCTTAAGTGCAAAAATCAAATTACCATGAATTCTTCAGTATGGTAATAAAAAAATAGATGTAATTTAGCTAAATTCTTTCCCTCACTCTATTTAAGTTATATCCAAGTTGAGAATCAGAGGACTAACTCAACCATAGTGACTACCGAGTGAAGTTATCTTGCTGGAGACGTATCATCCAATTCCTACCCCACAGGATACTCCCTTACCCTGCCTCTGGTGGGTAACATCAACCCCTAACTAAGGGATGCTGTGGCCCAAAGTTCAAAAGTCATGTGGTAAACCATAAAGAGCCAACCCTCCAAAGTCCCTAAATTGAATGCTTTAGTTAGGAATGCATGCAGGCTTTTTTTTTTTTAATTCCAAGGACTTTTTAAGGAGCAGAATAAGAAATAGGAAATCAAATACACAAATATTCCCATTTGAAACCCCCTGTATCTGAGATGTCTTGCACCTGAGACATTTTTGATGTAACTCCTTTCTACTGAAAGTTAATAGCTAGCTGGCTAGGAGTTCCACTTGCCTGAGCTAAACCAAGAAAAACAGAAAGAGAAGTCTGCTTTAGTCCTTCCCAATGCAATAGTGTCTGGTGCTCTCCTGCCCAGGTGACCAGAGACTGCTGTGAATCCCCCACTCAGCCTAACCTATGCAAGAGCTCCAGGCTGTGAGGGCACCTCTTCTCTTCCCTCCTTTAACCTTCTCCCGCCTTGAGAGCCCTTGAAGGACAGGTTCTGCACCCTTCCTTCAGCTCCAAGTTCTCCATCTCCCCAAAGCAACAATTAACCAACAGCACAGAAGTGGCCCCATGAATCTTTCTTTCTCAAATGGCATAGCTAGAAAATAACAAGATGGTTTTCCTGTCTGGATTATGGAATTCCTACACACCTAGAATCATATGCCGTGTGTTTATCTGCTTTTGCAAGCTGACCCATATGAATTGGTCAAAGAGAGAATTTCTAGAAGGAAGAACCAAGAACAATTAACAAAGTTCATTTGTAGGACAAATAGGGTTTAATAAGCCTCTTAGGTCATCTCGTTGGAGCAGGTAGTCACTCCCTCCTACCAGGTCTAACACTGCCTGAATCACATACATACATATTTTTCCAGAAATGCCACCTTTGCTGCAACTAATGAAGGCAAATTTATCTGCAGCATTTGAAGTGTAGTTTTGTTTCAATGTTAAGAATCCAACAACTGCAACTAAAAAGCAACAAATTTTTTCAACGTACCCTTTATGAGGTATGTAAATGAATTACAGAAGTTTGTTGGACTGGATTTGAAGATGGAGACCTATTTGAAAGATTCTATTAAATCACAAGAGACCTTTCACTTCCATTTTCTAGGATATTTCTTTTATAGTAATAATGTTTAAAAATATATGTAGAAAGGCATAGTTAAAAACATAAAGTTATATTTTAAAACATGGCTAGACACACATTACTACAAAAATCCTAGGAATACAAAACTCCAGAAAGATGGACAATTATTGCTATATGAAGCATTCAACTTTTAATTACTTTTTAAAGAAATTAATTTAACCTATGAAACATCACATAGTCTTACACAGTCAATCCTAAAATGATAGGGTGTCCAACAACTATTCATCCTTTTCTACACATATGCCAAGACCTTTTATAAATCTTGATGTAGTAATATAAGGTTACACTAAATTATGCCTGCCAAGAGATAGCACCTGTTTTGAGAAAAAGCTCAAGAACATTCTTGAAATCCATCTATTGCACTTTTCTTCAGAGGCTACATATATTGGAGAGGAGGGTAAGTCTAAATGTATCACACTTTTATTCCTATTCCAGAAACAGGGAATTGTCAATATGCAATAGATATTAAGAGGCCAAAGATGCATTTTTATTGATCATCAGTCTTATCTTGAGAGATACCAGGATCCCCAAAGCATTCACCTAGATCCTTAAATAAAATGAAGTGTCCTTCCTCCTTCACCTGACAAACAGACGTAGAAGCCTTCTCTACGTAGTTTTAAAACCAGTCACACAGAAAAGACTTCAAGAAAATATATCAGAATGCTAGAATTAAGAGGGATTTCTGTTTCTTCTTTAAACTTTCCTATATTTTGCAAAATTATTTTTAATAGGCATCTATGACTTTTAGAATCAGAAAACTAACTCAAAAAGAGCAAAGCTATAGCATAAAAAAAGAATTATTGAAGTAGTTCACATTAAAACAAAGACAGAGAGCTGTTTCATCCTTAAAGCTTGCAGCCACCACTTTAATCTATCACATGACATATCATGATGATACTCGTCAGCTCTGCAGCCTGGCAGTGGCTAACTATAAGTCTCTGTTTACAGAACCTGACAATTTTATCAACTGCCTAGAGGGCATGGGCATGTTTTTTAGCACCTACCATGTACCAAGCTCTTACATATGCTATCTCATTGGCCCTCACAGCCATTTGTTAGAGTCACATCAGCATTCTGTTTTACAAAGGAGGAAACCAAGGCCCAGAATGACTAGGAAGCCTGCTCAAGATGACGTAGCTAGTATTTGGGAGCTACTTGAAAATTACATCTGTCTAAACCCAATATCAAGCTTTTGCTTTTCCACTGTGCCCTAGTCAAAAGCACCTTTAGTCAAAAGCACCTTTAGTCAAAAGCAATACAGCAAACATTTGCTTTGGGAGTTTCTAATTCTTATGAGTTTGCCCAATGTCAAGAACATGAAAGTATTTGTAAAAGCCTCCTCTTCCTTACTTCAAGGTTGGGGCAGGGAATCTACTTTCAGGAATAAAAGAAGGTCTTAAGTTATACCACACATCTATCAGATTGAGAAGAATGGAGTTATTGCTACTGTATATGTAACAGTGACATTTCCCAAACAGTATTATTTTGATGATAAAAATATACAACCATAACTGAGAAGTTTTATATACAATCATCCATACATTTGCCAATGTGAAGAGGTAGTTTTTAAAAAGAAATTCTAATAATTTATCTGATCAGATAAATTCAGTCACTCTTTTAAGCTACCTACGGTTCTAGGTAAAGCTATTATTCCCCCAAATAATCCATAATTAACTGAATAGTGTTCAAGGCTAAAGATCCCCTAGAGTCTGTTTAAAATGGTCTATATAGATGGCTTTCATTAATTCAACTTTCAAAAAGCATTTGTTTGGCACACAGAGCATCCAGACTCCAAAGACAGTGTCCAATGAATAAACATTGCAACATTGATATTTTCTTGCCTTCAAGGAGTCCTCAAGTTATATTAGGAATAGGGTTTACTTCTGAGGACAGAGAGAAGGGAAGGGCAAAGGAGTTGAGATGCGGGCACTATAGCCCTTAAGTATTTACTTTTTTACAAACAGAAGTACAGAGAAAATATAGCAAAAGTATTAATATTGTAAAATCTAGGTGGTGAACACCTCAATGTCTTCCATGGTACTTAGAGTATTTTTAGTATATTTATAGTATTTTGTAATTTAAATTATTTTAATTTAATAATTTGTAATCCAGCTTCAAAAACATATTTTATATCATTAAAAAGTACTCACCAAGGTTCTATGGCCAGATACTCAAATTCATCTCAGTCTCCAAGTGCAAATTTTAAAACTGATTCCTTCCATCATTCAATTCAAACAGAGTGGTACAATAGTATTTTAAAATGAACAGAACTGGGTTTAAATTCTCTCTCTGTGAATATATTGGCCTCTGTTACCTTGGGCAAGTTATTTGCTAAAGTAATCTGCATCCCATCTTGTACCTGTAAAATGGGTATCCTCTACTATAAAAGGTAGATGAGTAGCATGGGCATTCAGTGTTAGTGTTTTTTCCTCTTCCCAGCTGAAAAAATACAGAGAGTTTGAGAGGGAAACAGTTATGAGACAGAACCCTAAGAGGAAATCAGCTGCTCTTCAAGATAAGGGCAGAGGCATAAAACAGGCAGAGGGGCTCAAGGCAGGCAAAGAATAACCATGAGGTTCATCCTTCCTGTGGGTTTGATCGCTACAACCCTTGCGATTGCTCCTGTCCGTTTTGACAGGTAAATCTCACATCCTGTGTTCTGGTCTCCGTGTAGGAAGAGGACTAAGGAATGTTTCTTTACATTTAATGTTTTTTATCTCTTGCCTCCTTAAAGGGAGAAGGTGATCCGTGTGAAGCCCCAGGATGAAAAACAAGCAAACATCATAAAGGACTTAGCCAAAACCAATGAGGTAAAGCATTTAGAGGTATATTTTATATTTTCTTTCCGTTTTCTGTTTTCTATGAGATACTTTTTCAAATTTTATCTTTAATGCCTACAGGGGCAACTAAAGACAATTAAATAGAAGGGGAAATAACGGGAGCTACTTGGACATTCATCCAATGGCCAATACTTCACCTTTTTTGTTTTGTTTTGTTATCCCAGACTACTACTTCTGTTTTTTCTCCCAAAAGCTTTGCGAACAACAGTTTTTTCTAGGTAAAATTGTGTAGTCAGGAGATGTTCTCCATACCTTTATGAGAGCCTCCCGTGCCTTGCCGGCTGCATTCTCCCCACTCCCACCGCTCTTCTCTGGTCGCGTAATTTCTGTTAAAGTACTAACTGATAACCTGAAGGTACTGGCTGATATCAAGAGGTGACCCTTTCCAAGAGCAGGTACATTTTAAAAGAAGATTCTTGAAGTTAGATCAGTCCTTTAAAATCCATCAGGCTAAAATAATCATTGTATCATGTACTCAGCTGCTCCTATACACGAGGCACATAGTGCCAGCCACCTTACACATGCTACTTCAAATTCTCCCACACATTTGTAATGTCAGGGTCCTAATAAAACCTGTGTAATATAGAAGAATTGAATTCCAAAGACAATAAATTAACTCACCAAGATTACACATCAGATTTAAACCCAGACCCGAATCTAGGATTTATTCTAGTCACACACACACTCTTATCTCCACATCAAATCAATCAAAAGTTCTACTTATCTAATTCCCAAACATTTCTCAAACCCATACTTCACCCTCCATTCCATTGCCACTGCCAAGTTCATGTCCACTCTATTACCAGGACAATTTTGATAGTCCTGTAAGTAATGCTTAGGCTTTTAATCTTGCCTCCCAAAAAGCCGAGTCTTCATTGCACACTGATTGCTCTCTCAAAGTGTCTCCTGTCTCCACTATCTTTACATAATGTGCTCTCTATATATCCTAATTTATTTTGTTTGTTTCCACATTGTTTCATACTCACCCTTGTGCCTTCCACTATATTAGTGTCAAATTTTTAGTAATTTTCTAGTTTCCACTTGAATAAAATCTGTAACTCTGAAAAAAATCTGATAATTGCATTACTCCATCTGAAGGTCATTACTGAGAGGCAGCCTAACACGGAAAGAGTATCTTCTTTAGAGCCAAATGCTTAGGCTCAAATCTCAGCTCTACCCTAGATCTGTGGCCTTAAACAAGTTATTCAACCTCTCTGGCTCTCAATTTCCTCCTCTGTAAAGTGGGGCTAATAATCATAACTATTTTGAAGGTTGCTAAAAAGACTAAGTTTTGGGTAGCACTCAGAAGCAGAGCTGATCATAAGTCCCATAGAAGCATTTTCTATTGGTATTGGTATGGCATTCATTATACTTCATGATCTGCCAAACTGCCTGCCTCTCCAATCTCCTGCTCCTGTGCCCTCTTTCTCACTCTTCAAACTCCATAAACACCAAAGACTCACCCACCTTGGCCCCACACACCTTTTCTCACAAGGAATGTGTTCCTCTCCTTCTTTACCCAGCTAAGTCTTACTTATTCTTCAAAATCCAACTCAGGCAGTGTCTCCTACAGGAAATCTCCTCTACCCATCAACTCTGATGACCCAGTTTGGGTTGTTTCCTGTGTTCCTGGAACACACTGTTCCTTCCCCTGGCATTGGTTACCATGCTGGAAACACGCATGCATGGCTCTGTCTCCTACACTAAACCCCTTGCCTCCCGTAAGTCTCTTATTAGCCTCTACAGCTGTGGCAGCTCTGTGCCTGATGCTTAATAAATGAAATTTCACTGAGCTCTAAGCTTTTGCTCCACGTTACCATGCTAAAACAAAGAACTTTCTATTGTGATAAGATGGCCCTGCCTAATTTATCTTTAAATCACACTACATTTTTCATATGTCCAACTCATGCTGTAGCTCTTTGATCAAAATAAACAAACATATTTGTTGGTTCTTAGAAACCTCATATTGTCACATAATTAATTGACCTAAAGGCAGAGGGAAAGTCAACTAAGAAATAGCCAGGCAGACTTAGACAGACCTATAAGCTTGGTGTGATGGGTGGAAATTGAGCATTTCCTTCACATTTCCCAGGCTGGGGACATTTGGTTTCACAATTAAGTATGATTTTGAAGAATCACAAGAACTGGAATCTTCTCAAAGTTATTTTAGCCTGAATGCTATACTTCTGAGCTCATACACCAAATTTTTGAAATTCTTAGTGAGGGGTAAAGAAACAGAAGGAAATCAGCACTTGTTAAGTGCTTGCATGTCCCAGACCTCATACCTATTTCACAATCCTCACAACACTCCCATTGGACTCTCATTAGCCCCATTTTGCAGGAGAGAGGATTGAAACTCAAAGAATCATAGTAACTTGCCTAAGGACATATTGCTAGAAAAGTGACAGGGCTGGGAGATTATGCATTCTGTTGGATACAGACCTTCCAGGAATTCCAGAGTTTACAGGGACATTGGGTTTTGAGGCCTGACTGGGCAGAAAAAGTGATATTTAATCTAAATTCTTAATTAAAGGCAGATGTTGTGGCTAAATCAATTCATCCCCCAAATTGTTGAAGCAAACAAATTAACCAATCCTTTTGGCATTGATAGATAAGATGTCCTAAAAACGTGATCAGTACCAAATGTTTTCTTTTCCACTCTCTAATATTCGACAGCCCTTAAATGTATTTGCAAAAATCTCATAAGCTTATTTTAAAAAGAGTCCATACCTTAGTCACACTGAGCCCCAAATTCCTTGTCTGATGTATAACACATGGTTATTTCTTAATAAGTATGTGTTGGGTGAGCAAATAAACAACTGTGACTAACATCAAATTCATTTCTGCAGTTTGACTTCTGGTATCCAGATGCCATTCACTACGTAGCTGCTAACGTGACGGTGGATTTCCGAGTTAGTGAGAAGGAATCCCAATCCATCCAGTCTGCCTTGGATTAAAATAAAATGCACTATAAGTAAGTCCTCTGCAAATATTCAAATGTATTAGATACTCAAAGTTTTTGGAACCTTGAAATTGAGAGGAAAGTGTTACAATGAAGCTATTTTTAATTGGACCTCTGAAAAACTGAAGCTTGATCTGTGAGATAAAGTTCACAGTTACTTCTAGACAGACTATTGAAGCCTGCTTACAGAGGTGATAAGATCAAACTTGGAAGCTCATCCTCCATCTTATATTTGCTCCAATCTGCAAGAATGACAATTACCTATATCTGCCATCTCCAAAACCAGCCCTTCCTGAGCACAGAGCCCAGGTGAGCAGGTATGGCTTAAATCAAGAGAGGAGAATTTCAAATAGCCAAAGATGCAAAAAAGAGTCATTCTAGCCCCACAGAGAAATAAGAGAAAAGTAGAATGTATTGAGCACCAACCACGGGCCACAAACAGTCTGGACCCTGGGGCAGAGCCCAGCAATGAATACCATAAGTAAATGCGTGATTTAAAAAACAAGATGTGTTTTTATATTTTTAAACATTCAGCAGTTTGATGTACTGAGGGGTCCAGTTTTAACTTCAGGCATTGTCATCCTAGGATTCCCCTTTACTGAGAACTTCACTGTCAAAATACTGCTAAACACTAGTTCTTTCCTTTTGAGCTTGCTATTTCATGACTCCACTACCTGACTTAATGCTTTAACTCAAAAGGGCTTCTTCTGGCTGAGATAAAGATCTTACTGATGTCAGTAATGTTATATTGCAGAGCAGGATTTACTGCTATTTGTCATGACTTGATTGTATTTATGACATTGCTACAATATCTCAAATGAATATAAACTCTATTGAAATTAAGCAATTATATAAGACAAGCAAAAATTCTTGCTCATGATTTAAAAAAGTAGCAGGCTATTATTTTTGATGATTATTGATCACTGTTTTTTTTTTTTGCTATTGTTTCAAAAGGGTTGTGATACAAACGTAGAAGTTAATAAGTTGAGGAACACAATTAAAAATTAATTTATACCAGCATTTATCACTTCTTAATTAATATATCGATATGTATTTTTCATGTTTTTATAAATTGCACCATTAAAATTAAAATAGATACTTCATAAATGTAACTACAAGATCTCAGAAATTTATACATTATGGACTATCTGCTTACACTAGGGTTCAGACGACATTTTGATTCTTTCAACTAAAAGAAATCATCCCTCCACCCTAAATAATCCCTGGTTACTTTGTCTCTTGATTCATTTTGCAGCCAGTCTTCTCGAATGTACACCTCACTTACGATACTCTCCACTTCACTTCCTTAACATGGACCTGATCTTGATTCCTATGATCAACTAATTCTTACAAATTATCCAGGCAAAGCTAAAATAAAAAGTAGTGCTCTGGCCAAATTTTGTATAATTTGGCTTGAACAGCAGGGTAAAAAATTAGGTGTTATATTTTCTTTAATAACCTTATCGTGTAGACAAAAAGCTAGTTGCTTGGCATGAGCATGAATAGTAGAGTGAATCACGGTAAGACACCTAGGCATGTGGCCGACGTCCTTTCATTTTATCAAATAACTCCCATCAGCCCTTTCTCCTCTTTAGTCCTCTAGTCCTCTCCTAGCTTGAAATGGTTCCAACCCAGCTAGAGATCTAAATCCAGATCCTCACAAATAGCGTGTTTTCACTTTGTCTCATGCCAAGATGGTGTCTTGCTATCTACATCAAGAATTGAAGTGTAAACTACCTATAAAAATTAGTTTTATCTAATTAAGACATGATTTCGAGAAATTGGCCCAAATCAGCCACAGTTGTAGGAAAGCTGTATAATTAGATAGTTACCTTCCTCAGAAATATAAATATGTAAAGTGATCTGAGCAGACAAGAACTATTTAAAATCTTGTCTCCAAGTACTAATTATATAGATAATTTTATTTGCATATTAATTATATGTGTTACTTCATGTCAGTCAGCAACAGAAGAGGGTTCTAAGAACAGAAACATCTGGTTGGACCCAGGCACCAGGCTGAATTAAACATATTAAGAGGCTGGTTTGACACAATGATTTACTTAGACATCCTTCATTAGACAGTGCATATAAACCACTATTTAGTTTAAAACATCTGTGTTGTGATTTTTTTCAATTTTCAGAAAATTATTAATAAATTACTAAGCCAAATTTTATTTTAGAGTGACATGCTTGCTCCCCCCTCTTTTTTTTTACACTTTTACAAAATCACATAAGGCCAAGTCCAAAAAAAACAAATAATATGTATATACTAACAAACCTGAGACTGGTGAACAAATGTCAAAAGGAAAGCACATCCATTGGACTGAGCCTCAGGGACAGATACCATATTTGGATTTAGCAGTTAAAAATCCTAGTGTTTTTAATATTTTTCACATTTTAGATAGACAATCTTTAACATTGTCTTTTCTTCAAATGCTAAAGTTAGAAAATTAAGAATTGTTAACAAAAGGTAATTCAGAAAATAACTATTAATATAATAATAAAACTCAAATGGTATAATTAAGTAAAATCTTATTAAGATCCACATAAGATTATGTGGGAATATTTCTTTTGAAATATATGCCAAAGAAAGAAATATATGCCAAACCGACACAGTGATAATCAACACTTCATATAAATGTGTAATTACATAGCAATGATCAGACACAATTTATATTCCAAGTATATACGCAATCCTGTCAAATAAGTGTTTCAATCAAAGAAATCATTCTAATATGTCACTCTATTCATTTTTCTTTCTGCTCCACATTTTTACATATTCTTGCCTAAGAGTATAACATGTATATTAGGCCTGCTACAAATGTCTAAGTGTAAAGTTGGTCATGGTGAAAAACAGAGGAGCGTGGAAGGTAAGAAGATGGGTTCTGAAGCAAGGCTGTCTGGGTCCAGTGCCATTCAAATAATGCATTAGCTATTTTTATTTATTTATTTATTTTTAATTTTTTTTTATTTCAGTATATCATGGGGGTACAAGCATTTAGGTTACATATATTGCCCTTGCCCCACCCGAGTCAGAGCTTCAAGGATGTCCATCCGCTAGATGGTGCACACCTCACCCAGTGGATAGAGCTGGAACCCATTCTACTAAGTGAAATATCCCAAGAATGAACAAACAAGCACCACATGTACTCATCATCAAATTAATATTAACTGATCAACACTTAAGTGCATATATAGTAATAACATGCGTTAGATATTTAACATTGACAATTTATTTAACATCTCTTCCTTTCATTTACCGTGTATATAAAATGGGGATAAGAATGGAACCTATTTCATAGGGGTTTCATGAAGATTGACTGGGACCATAAAAAAAAATTGTTTTTTGCCTGGTCCTTTACTTCTACTAATGCAAATAAAGGAAAGGCCAGTTATACATGTGCTAACATGGGTATGCACACACACGTACATCACACACACACGTACATCACACACACACCCAGTGCAACAGGGGATAACTAGAGGCTATCACCAAATGCTTCGTTTCCTTCCTCGTGAGTAAATTAGTGCCTTAAAGTTTATCATCCAACAGTAGTATACCTCAAATGTTGGGAAATCCATGTTAATAAGTACAGCGTTTGATGCATGGTAGCCCAGTTAGGGAGTGAACGGGGACAAATTGGATCTCCTGGAAACCTGAAACCATACTTTTTGAATAGCCCCTATCCTGGTATAATGGGGCATCAGGAGAATCCAGACCAATCTATATGGCACCCTGAATTGGGCAAACATTACAGAAGCCTCTGAAGACGAAGCAGAGTACTGGTCTGATAACACTATCCAAGGATTTCACTCTTGTGGCGAAGCCATGGTTGCACAATCATTAACAGCTAGGTACTGAAGTCAGACCCCTGTAGATTGAAATCCCAACTCCTGTATTTTACTAGTTGTATCAATTTTGGAAATCAGCCTAACCTCCATAAAAACAGGGAGTGATAATGGTACCCAATGAATCATGTTGACGGGATAAAATGTAAATACAGTGCTGAGCAGAGAGCCTGGCACATAAGAAAGGCTCAATAAACATTAACCATTTGTGTTATTAAATCCCCAGTGATAATTATTTACTCTTTTACCTACATTTAGGGATTTTTTTTTAACAAATTAAGCAAATTTTGGAGCACTAAAATAATATTTGAGAGAAAGTAATTTGGTTTCATCTGCTTACGCTTGGCTGCTGGTTAGTGGAAGGACTCATGAAAATAACATCTGGCCCTGGTTCTTAATTTCTAGCTTTAGGCTTAATTTCTAGTCCCTATCAGCAACAATCTGGCATGATTCTGATGTCCTCATGCAGCTGCATTTATAGAAAGATTGTATTTCAGCTCACATGATTTTTTTTTTTGCTACTGTTATCACTAGAGCTAGATTGATATGTGTAAAAGTCTAAAAATATTATTAGATACAAGCTTCTTGTGACTATTTAATACTGCCTTATGTTACAAATCAACCTTTGGGACCATAAAATTTCTCTTTTGCCTGGTTCCTCTACTTCTATTAATGCAGGTGGAGCAAAAGCCATATGCCCTCTTTAGAGCTTAAAGCAATTAATCATGTCTGTAGTGACCAACCAAAATATAATTTCAAACCTTCTCAGGCTTCCTATGAGTTTTAGTGCCACATGCTCCACCTGATTCCAAAATTGCTATTACAAATTTATTTTCTCCGAAATTCCAGATTCGTCATAAGTCAAAAGCAAAGCACACAGTGAGATAGATGTAATGTGCATAATGATGTGCTTGTCAGCGCCGTTAATGGGAATCAATATTCATGAGCAGTGCTTGGTCCCATGTGCTAAATAAACTCTAATTAGGAGTATACAGCGTGTGTGTTCCGCATCAGAACTTAGATCAGTCAGTCAGTCTGCAAGGAGAAACCAACAAATAGAGTGGAGCTCTGCAGTGTCACAGCCCATTATCGTAAGAAATTGAAGCAATCAAAGAATCAAACAACTACATACCGTCAAAGCCTGGTTTAAAAATGTGTCAAGTCTGGAACATGGTTTCAATTTTGTGACTCAACTTCACTATTATTCTGAAGTTCACTGGGTGCCTAAAGCGTGACAAACACTTCTCAGATTTTACTTCATTTCATCCTCAACACAATTCTGAGTGGCATATTTGGTCCCATCGTAAAAGTTAGAAAATTGAGGCTCAGAGAAATAACTGAACTGCCCATGATCACATTAAGTATTAAGCAGCCAGACTGGGGTTGGACCCAAGAATGTCTGACCACAGGTCACTGCTTCCTTATTTGATAGGATCTGTGGTGGTGGAAAGAATGCACGATACTGTCCTAAATGACTAGAATGAACATTAAAAACTAGACAGCAGTTTCCTACATGCAGGATTCACTGCTAACAGAAGAAAAATGCATGTACATTTCATTACCAACCGTAAGATAATGCTTTTATTTATATGGAGTTAATGGGAAATAACATAATCTAAACAAAATTGTTCAGATGAGTACAACTTTACATAATCCTTTCTTTTAAATATTTTTATTGAAACGTTTGCATTATGAGCTAGTTTTCAGCTCTGCAAAATGAAGTAAATTGAATATAGTTTACCTTTAGGTGAAGGATTATCATTATAAATGTAAATTTTCATACTGAGCTATGAGAGAATGACATTTTCAAGGGCTACCAAAGTACGTTCTACCATTTAGACCTACGTCAAGAGACCACTGACCCATGTTTGCTAAGTCCTTCTGTCTAGGTAGTTTTGCTTTCCTTACTTTTTTTTTTTTCTGTCAGCCATTATCTACTGATATCAGTGTAAGTCATTTCCCGTATAACCAATGCATTCCTTCTAGTTTAAATAAGCTTTTCAGAACTGTATCTAAAATAAGAGGAACAAGGGGAGGGTGCTTGTAAATCTTTTACAGCTATAAAATGGTATTTAACATATTAAGGAATCTAATAATAGACTTTAATGCAACCACACATCAATGGACAATAATTTGATCATATAAATAGATACTGCCATATCAACCTCAAAGTGGCACTCAACATCAGACTTAATGGTGAAAGACAGGTTTTCCTGTTAAAAGCAGAAAAAAAAAAAGAGAGTGATTTCTTTCACTGCTATTATTTACCATTGTTCAAAGCGTTTAGCCAATGCAAAAAAGTAAGGAAAACAGAAATAATTATTGGAAAAAAGTGGAAAGTATAGTTATTTGCAGAAGAAATAACTACACAAAAAGCCCTAAGGATGTAACTAAAAATTCTTAGAATTAAAAAAAATAGTTTTTTAAGCAATAAAGTGGCTGATAAGTGAAACTAAAGCTATTAGTTTTTTTAATATATCAATACTATAATAACCAACTCAAAAATGCAGTGGGGAAAAAATT